TTCAATGTGGAAAAAACAGACACAACCCAATCCAACATCCTGTAAAGCTCTAAAATATGCCTTAGGGAATTGAATTAAGTGAATAATTTTAAACTATATAAGTTTGAGTTTGTCAACGAAACCCTGTATTCTTTTAAAGGAAAAGAAAAAAAGCAATACTAAGAAAAACTAAGTTACTACTCCTATTTGTGAGTGGGGAAAATTTTCCTACTTATTCCTGGACTCTGCTATCCAGGTCTTAAGGATTCAGCCTTTACAGAGATAGTGAAAGCCTGGCCTGACTACAGAGATGATCCTGTTGAAGAAAAGGGTCTTCTGTCAAAGACCTTAATCCTGGTTCTTCTTCACAAGGACATGGCTTGCCATATCCATTGTCTCAGGTGGCTACTCTCTTCTTTGAGAGAATGCCTGTGGCCACAAACTGTTACTACATGTACAGATAAGGATGGATCATAACAAGTTCTGTGTGCCAGCTGAGAGTCTCCACCAGCTCCCTGCAAGTCGTTAGGATCCATTGAGAAGGTACAGGGAAAGCCCAGCATGTCCCATGAGGATAAACTCAGTGAGAACATGCTCATTTGGCCTGGTACTCTGTGTACCTGATTTTCTTTGCTCAGCAATCTGTTTTTATTATGCCCTACACCAGTCATCATAGTGACCTGACAGTCATATACAGCGTTCCCCAATGAGGTGCATGTGAGTATAGAAAATAGTTCACTTGCTTTCTTCATTATGGTGAAGGGTGGCCAGGGAGAAGACACTGCATGCTGAAAAAGAGTCTTCTGGGATACTGCGTTGAGGCTAAAGAGAGATCTGATATTGACTTCTTTGTACTAAAGATTAAATTACTAGAGAATGTTTAATTTCTAGCATTAAATATTGAATGCAGAGTTCAGCATCTGTGGTGGATTATGAAAAGCAAGTGGAAGCTGCAGAAACTAGTTTCCTTTCTCCTTTTGAAGTTCTGTCTCACACTGTAGGCCTGGTATGTCTTTGCTCCACCCTTTTGCCCTCCTCTTGCTAAATCTCATGGTCCCCTTTCAAGTACTTCTGTTAGATGAGCTTCTGTAGAGCTCAGAGATACTGGAACTGTGCAAGTGTATTTCTGAGAGCCAGAAAGGTGCCCCAGGCAGTCGACAGGTACTCAGTCACATGGTATTTTATACCTCCAGTTCTGTCAGAGTTCTCTGAATCAGATTGTAATATCCAGACAACATATATTGGTCACTGTGGTTTACTTAGTGCTCTTTTCATTCCTGTAAATGCAGAGATGAATGATGTCAGCCTTGAGCATGCTCAGAAGCTATTAGGAATCAATAGGAGATGAACAGCATACCATGGGTAGTGGGGGAAGGAAGCACAGAGCGTCAAAGTGGACTGTCATACTGGGGGTGCCCTTGGGACACTGGAGTGGACACCATGTAAGAGATATTGAAAGGTTGTTCTGAAAACTAGTAAGGCTACAATCATTTGAATCTGAGGTGATAGGATATAATTTGGTGCATTTTCCCAGTAGCTGGTGGCATGGGAATGACTAATTCCTAGAACATTCTGTTGTATGAAAAAATGAGCTGGTTATGTGAGATTAAGTGCATTTTGATGCCCTGAAATGTACTGTTATGAGAGCAAGAGTTATTATCATTTAACCAGAGTTGTACATTACTGCCAAATGTAGTTCTAGGATTTCATATAGAGAACTAAAGAATTAAAGAGATCTTAAGGAAGCAAATACTGGAAAATTCTGAGGCCCAGGTCATTGCAAAACAAAATTGTGAAGTACCTAAGGTATTGAAGAGGAGAAAGATGTCAGGGGAAATAGTTGGGAGCAATAGGGTTTGGGAGTTAATAGCGGCTATGATGAAGTATGGTGAAATTGCTCAGGTCAGCACTGGATTCCTTGCTTCAATGGCCCTTTTGCTCCAGCTTCTGGAGGCATTGGGTCTGTAGGCATGACCACTCAGCTAGCTCAAGACATTTTAATTCCACATTTGTATTCATGCTTCTGCCTTTTCTCAGCTCCCTTTTGGAGAATGTGAAAAAGAAGCAGAATGATGAGGATGAACACAGAAACCCTGTTTTTGTTTTTAAGCATCAGTTCTGTGTTTTTAATCCTAGTTCTGTGCACCTTCAACATTTCAGTGAATTCTTATCATGATCAGGGAAAGCAGATCAAGGCAGTAGGAGATTAACAACCTAGAGAACTTAAAGGCCAAAACAAGTGCCTCCAGGTCCCTATTAAATGAGAGTCCTGGTATTCGTACTTCTCTAGTGTTTTGATGCTGCCATACTATACCGACAATCTTTATTAGAATTTATTTTTAAACGTTCAAAATCTGCATTGTTCCGCTTTTTGAATCATTAATGTATGCAGCTGTCATGCTACACGGATGCTCAGCCCAGAGTGCTCAGGAAGAGTGTTAAAGTGGGAGTCAGTCAGTTTGACTTGAGAGCTAACCTATTGTTGCATTGCAATTGTGACATTTTTCGTCTCTCTGCATGTTATTTTTGCTCTCTCCTTGATCTCTGCTATGTCTTGGGGCTAAATGTGAATGAATTCATCTAGCTATGTTGTTCTAACTGCACAAATATACCAGGTGTTGGTTTCCTAAGCGAGCCTTACTATTATTTCTAAATATGTACTGTTTTTCATTAGTTCTGTGGGTCTCGGGAAATTAATTGAGGCCATTTTTTTTTGCTTATTTCTATGTCAGACCACATGTAGGGTCTTACAAGCTCATAAAGAATTTATTGGTAGGTTATATGAATTTTAATTATAACTTATATAAGTAATTGCAGTTAACATTTATTCTTACTAAGTGTTGGATGACTTGTTTAGTTTAAATCTAATGATATTGTAAAGTAAGGTGGGCAAGAAAGTATGGACACACTGATCTCACATAGACAATGAGAGAAGGGCAAGGTTTCGTACAAAAGTTTTTTGGTGAGAGGTCCACACCGTTCCTATCTATGCTATATTATTTACACAGAAAATAGCTTATAAAAGGTCTCTGTTGGTAGGGCACCATTAATGTCAGTTGAAATTCATCATTTCTCTTAAAACAGGGTTGAACTCCACGAGCCTACCTTCACATCAAGTGCAGCTCTTTCTCAAATAGTGAGAACACAGTGAGAGCTCCTTGCAGGAAGTGGTCCTCAGAGGCCTCCAAACTATTCACTTCGTTTGAAGTCAGGCTTGGAATTCATTGTGACATGTCTTATTTGAGCTATATTAAATGTAAGAAAACCTGACAGCTGTAGAAGTTCAATGTTCATCATTAATATCAGCCTTTAAATTTAGCTTCCATGACAGGCAGAATGTGCAATGTCACAAGGGAGACGATAGCAGAAGAGAAGTGAAGGCGAGGTTCTCATTCTAATCTCTAAATTTTCTTATATAGCAAGATCTAGAAACAATGGTTTTGAAGGTATAATACCTAGCTACTTAATATGCAGTCAACAGTAGTTTCGACTCAGTTAAGGTTATAGAGTCTGTCTTAAAAAAAGTCATCCATTTCCATTGATTGATTCATTCATTCATATGTTCATCCATTGAGAAACTTTAGAATATCTTTATGCCTTGCACAGACTTACACATACTGAAACTGTCTTAACTATAGCTGCATTGCAAAGTTGACAAATAACTACAAACAGTAAAATCATAATTACACCCTGTTATCTGAAATGCATTGCCTCTGAACATGTAGTTGGTTTGACACCAGTCAGGGGGGATATCTAAACTAATTCATAGGTGGATGTTTATACAGGCAAAACAGGCAGGTGGCTAATGATAGTGGTGACATCATGGTATTGGGTGTGTTTAGATCCAAACGAAAGTACAGACATTTTAGTGTTTTTAAGACAAGACCTGCAGCCTTCAACCTCAAAGGAGATTTCATTTATGCTCCTAGTGCTCCGTAGTTAAAAGGGAGCTGAATCATAACATAGGTCAGAGCTGATACTACAGCTGGGCTCCATAGAAGTACCTGGGAAACCACTTCTATATTTGGGGTCAGGATAGGTCTGGGGAAGAGAGTTAATGGGTAAAACCTGAACTTTGCTCACAGTCCCTCTTCTGTTTTATGCTTAAAGAAAGGGAGCTGTGGCTAAAAGAAATCTCAAAGAGAAAAAGTTCATTGAAGCTAGGTCATATGTTTTATTAATGAGCAAAGTAGAGCTGAATCTCAAGGGGAAAATAGTCACAAGAGAAAGTGAATGTAGTATACTAAGTCACCTGGCCCAGCAGTGGTCTGCTTTGCGTGGACATTAGATGAGAATAAAATCAATTCTGATGGTTGAAAGAAACAACAAATTGTGACTGGGAGGACAGAATATGATTATAGAGACTTTGGGGTTGCAAATGGAACTTATAAGAGAATTAAGTGCTCAAGTACCACAAAAATAAGCCAGTAGATAATCTCTAAAATTGACAGCAAGGAATAAATAGCATGCTAAATATAATGCGTTCAGTGTAGGAGAAAATGCATGAACATATAGAGGAAATGGAGGTGTTTTCCTGCTGCAAAGGGAAGCAAGGCACTGCTATTTTCTGTGCATCTGTTACTTTTTAACAAATAACGTAAAATCTGTTTTAGAAGAGGAAGGCTGGGTTGCAGGTTCATTTTCCATGTATACATCCTTCTCTTGACAAATAAGTACAGATGTTTTTAAGGGGACCGTTCTTGGAAAGAGAAAAATGAGGATACAAGACTTGGAGCTGCACATCAGGTAGTACAGGAAACGAGGCCTGAGAGTACTCATATGTGGAACAAGGTTTTCCAATAAATCTCTTAAGCGTTTGGTTACTTGTAGGGGTCCTCCCTACGTTATTCCAAGCATAAAAACTGCCCTGAGAGGAGAGCTTGACTGAGGTTTCAAAACAGCATATACTTAAAAGTTGATGTCTCTGATAATTCCTGGTTTTCCTATAGTCACACCAATTCTAAGTAGGAATTATTCCCTAAAGACTATTGCTGATGTTTTCTCGTTGTTCTTTCAAACAGGGAAACGCACACAAAATCATGGAAAAGTGTACATTACCGCTGACGGGAAAGCAGTGTGTGAACCGCATTATTACAGAAAAGGTAAATTACTTTCCTCTTTTTGATTCTGCTTGTATCAGCTGCCACTTTTCTTATTTCATTTAGAGACACATTTGAGGCTTTTAAAAAATCGCCATCTAAAATCATATTACATCAATGGCTGTAAGATTAATTTAGTCTGTGGAAGGAGGGAATGGGAAAATCAATGCCTCTTAATGTACATGTACAGCTCTCAGGAAATCACACACAAAATGGAACTCTTGTCCTCATCCGGGTACTTTTCAGTTTGATCGAAGAGCTTTGTTGATCCTTGAGTTTGGACCCTGAAGATGGGTGATATATGTAAGGTTCAGAGTATACTTACCTCTCCCCTCTTTCTTTCTTGTCTGCCAGAATCACACAAATAAACTGTTGGTTTTTTTGTTTTGTTTTGTTTTTTACGAGACAGGGTTTCTCTGTATTGTTTAGGAGGCTATCGGTCCAGCCTGGCCTCAAACTCACAGAGATCTGCCTGCCTCTGCCTCCCGAGTGCTGGGATTAAAGGCGTGTGCCACCACCGCCCGGCGGGTTTTTATTTTAGGAAATTCACCCACCATTGAGTTTGAGTCACTTGGGTATGAGCTGTAATATAGAACCACCATGCATCAAGACATACATTCTGCCTCTTACATGGTGCCTGACCTTTTCATGAAGTGGACTTCAGAACACACCCACCACTTCCATGCCTCTGTATTTTGTTTCCTAAATGGAAATATTTGGCCAGTTATATGGCTAAAAGCTGCTCGTATCAGAGAAGTATTTGGGACAGTTGTCCACAGCCAGATTCCTATCCCAGATTTGAACTTAGGAACTGGGAATGGCATGATTGCTGTCAGTCATCTAAGAAGGTGTTTTTCTTGATGAAGCCACAGGACAGAATTGCCTGTTTTGGCTTCTCCCCCTTCTCCGTGATGTCTCTCTTCTTTTGACTAAAGCTGTTCGGCAGTTGTGTCTCACAGAGTCTGGCTCACTAGCCTTCTTTACAGGATGGGAAGAAATACCCTAACACATGCTCTAAAGTAGGTTATGTATACAACACTTCCCAGAAGCTGTATTCTCAAGGGAGGTTCCATCTGGTTGGATATTCCTGAGGCTGTGTAGAATTCCATAAGGGTGCTGTATGGAGAACAAGCATATCAAAGTCGTTGTTATTTCTTTAGTCTCCTCTAAACTCTGGACAGGGCCTTTGCTTTGCAGTTGAGATTTCTTTAATACAGTGATAACCCTAACCATGAGTCTTTTAGCCTTGTTGATGCCCAACCCGATCCCCCCCTTCCCCAGTAAGCCCTGCTGCCCTGCCTTTGACTTTCCAAATCTTCTGCTTACAGAGTGTCATTGTGCCCATCCTTGAAGCCTAGCGAGTTTCCACTTGCATCACAAAGGGGCTCTTCCTCCTCTTTTTTTTAAATTTTATTTTCCAGTTTAAATTTAGATAAGAAACAAGGTTGCTTCACAAGTCAGTTCCAGGTCCCTCTCCCTTTCCCTCCCCTCCTCCCGTGCCCTCCCCCTAACGCCCCCCCCTTATCCCCTCATTCCCCCAGGGAGGGTGAGGCCCTCCATGGGTGTGTCCATAGTCTGTCATTTCATATAGGGCAGGGCCTAGACTCTTCCCCAAGAGTTCAGGGTGAGAGTGCACCTCACATTGTTCTATGGGAGTCCAAAGTCCATGTGTATACTTGGGATGGGTACTGATCTGCTGCCCAAATTCCTCATAGTGGTCCACTGTCCCCACCATTCACTCCAGCATCTTCCATTTGCTATTTGCATTTTCCTATGATGTAACTTTTACGGGTGATAAAGCTTAAGGCCATTTCCAGCCCCTTTTGTCTTTACTTTTGCTGTTCTTGCATGTTGTTTCGTTCATTCATTCAACTTTCCTTTGGAGGACCTTCTCTGAACCAGGCTGTTTCTGGCAATGGCTTACAAAGAGGAGGAGGAGGCTTAGTTTGACACCTTCAATTTTATATTTCTGATATTTTAAAAAACAATAGGAGATTTGGATCTAGAGTTCAGAAGAGAAGATGGTGCTGGAATAAGTGGGAGTCTTTAGCGTGTGACCACAGTCAGATCATGAATTCTAAGAGGTGCTGTGTGAAAAAGGAAAGTCAAGGCAGCTAATCTGAATCTTCAGCATCTCAGGGACTGAAGCTGCTTGAGTGAATGAGGATTCAGTGCTCCATTCATGCTGCTGGGTGGGTGGATGAAGATACAGTGCTCATAGATGCTGCAGGGTGAGTGGATGAGGATGCATTGCCATTAAAGGCAATGGCAGCTAAGGAACCAGAATTCCATTAGGTTGCCCTTTGAAAGCAATTGTAATTGTTTCCTGTTGTATGGATTGGGTTATAAAAGATAGCTTCCTCATCAGCACCTGGCTGTAATTAACTGTGGGATCCATAATGTAGCCTTTATGGCAGTAATAAAGTAATTAATTCACTTACCTGTAAGACAAGGCAGCTTCACTATCATTTTTGATTAGCAGTAAGACAAGGTAGTTTCAGTATCATTTTTTGATTAGCAGTTAACAATTTAACATTTAGGGTTTACTCTATTTTTATCACATTTTTGATTACCCCCTAGACTACCAAATGAAACATAATTCCTCTTAAATTTCAATCATTGTTTCAGTAGAATCAACCATGTTATCAAACAAACAAAGAAAGTAAACATCCCTTGTCCTGTGATGTTCCTTCTGGAAGAAAAATATAAACCAATTGGAAAAAGTAATTACCTTAGGTCTTTGACTTGGCTTAGGCACTCTGCTAAGGAATAATAACACACCTACACTGTAGCCTGAACATGATCTAGAGACTCCTTCCACTCAAGTCAAGTGATGCTATGGTAGTACCATTACAAGTTGGTCCTGTGGCCATGATGTTGGAATGGGTTGTGCAGGTGGGGGTCAGAATTCCTGTCTGCCTTAGACACCAGCACAACCGTTTGATTTGCTCACCAAAAGCCTGTGGATGCTCATGCTCTCCTCTTGGGACCCTTGTGTCTTTTGGGATTTTAGAGGTTGAGGAGCTTTACCAGCAAGAACTTGAACAACTACTTAGTTGAGTAGGCTGGGCTTTTGGGGCCAGGCCAGCTTTTATTTCATAATTATGCTTGGGTACTATAGTGTCTCCTTTTATTTCCTACATTCATTTACCCAGCAGCATTTCCCCATCATCCCTATCCTATCTCTTTCCAACTCTGCTCTGCCACATCCCCATTGTGTTCATTCCTTTCCCTCTTCAGATCATTGGTCACCTTGCTGGCCTTTCACCCAATATGTTAGAGTTAACAAATGGAAGACAGCTAAAAACAAATCTGATAACAGTGCTAGAAGATGCCAACTGTAGTCACTAACTAATGGCTGGTTAAGGAGTTGGTATTATTTATAATGGTTATAGTGGTCATTTGTTCATTGTTGGTTTTAAGTCTTTGGTCCTGGATCTTATTTCTCTTCTAGGAACTTGAAAGTCCCATCTATTTTTGTGCGACAATTTTTATAACGGAAATGGTCATTGTCATTTTCTTGACTTCCCACAGGGTGTGTTTGATGTGGACAAGAAAAATGGGCTGACACTGATTGAGCTCTGGGAAGGCCTGACTGTTGATGACATAAAGAAGAGCACTGGCTGTGACTTCGCAGTAAGTGTTTATGCAAGCAGAGCCAGCTTCTTGTGCTGGACCACAGACTGGGTGAACCAATGGTTAAGGCACAAGCCATTCGTTTCTGAGCAGAAGTAAGGAAGGGCACCTCCTGTGAGAGCTGGTAGAGTGGTAGGCGTGTGACTCAGGTCAGGGCTGTCAGGTGTGAGGCAGGAGCAGGAGGACACACCAGGAGCTGCAGGGGACAGAGGACAAACCCCTGCTCACGTGTCTTTTGTGAAGCCCAGGGAATCATCCGTTCTCTGCCAGGTGTGGATAAATGGGTTGTCAGCCACCTGTGGAAAAGGAGTACTTCCTTATTCTTACACCCACCTGACGATGATGCTCTCCTTGATCTGCGCCTTTTATTCCATCCGTTAGAGATATTAGAATGTAGCAAGTGCAAACTAGTATCCTACTTGCAGGAAAATAGTAGCTCACAGAAAACACAAGATCTGGAAACCCAACTAGGGACGGTTTTATTACAATTTTTGTAGTTACACTTATTTATTTATCCTTTAAAATTGTATTTATTTATTGTGTGTATAAAGGTGCTTATTGTAAATCACCAGTCACCTTCCTGTTGGGGTTGACAGATAGATGCAATGAACTTAAAGTTAACTGAAGGTAAAACGAATATATATGTCTGTAAAACAGTGAATGACAGAACCCATCTACTAATTACAATGAAATATAATGAGATGAAATTAGAAAAACTCACTTAACAAAAATTATTTGCTATGCTCTCCACAGATTTCATACTTAATTTTCCGTGCACAAAGACTTCGCTTGTACCTACAAGTGCATAACAAATTTATTTGAAAGAACTTTGCTGTATAATTCATTATGTACATAGTAACCACTCCTGATACAGTATTGTGGTCTTTTGTTTACTAACCTTTTCTGAATTTCCCTTTGGAAACAAAGCAGTCTCCCAGCAATACTTGCTGGAAAAGCAAATTTTTAATTAACTGTCTCATTACTTCAGGGAGAAGAAAGGGGATTTATTTATACTTCAACTATTTAGGATTTCGTACTCCAGTGAAACAATCAAACAGTTCTTAATCAGCTGTCCTTTTTTTTCCTTCTGTGTGGAATAGGAGCTCTCTGTCAGGTAACACCTTCAGAGAGCCGCAGAAACTTCAGTTTCTGCTGCAAAAGAATATACAGCACAAGACCCTCATTATCTAGCTATCTGGCATTCATGTGGGCAATTCAGAAAAACCTTTGCTGTTTTTGTTACACACACATGAGGGGAGGGGCAAGTGTGCAAACCCTGCTAGTTCTGTCTTCCTAGATTGAAAATGCCTCCATGGTCCTTCATGTATTTCAGTGTCATCCCTTCCTTTTACTAGTACTACAGTGATATGAGAATTGGTTTATTTATGAGGTATATTTTGATGTTTTAATGTGTGTATGAATTGCATACAAGTCAGGATAAACATCCCTGCCATCAAGCATTTCTTGGTGATAGAAACATTTAAAATCCTTTCTATTAACGTTAGGACGTATATAACACAGCGTTGTTATAAATATAGGTAGTCATGCCACCGCCCAGCAACGTATCACACACTCTCACTCCTAACAATAACTCAGTCTCAGTGGTTGGTCTACCTCATCCATCTCTCCATTCTCCTCCTAACCTCTGGGAACCAACATTCTACTGGCTCCTTCTATGACTTCATACTGTTTTCTATTCTACATGCAAGTGAGATCATGCAATACTCATTTTAATGGGCTGGCTTGCTTAGTTCATTTAAAACATTGACTTCCAGTTTCATGTATGTTGCTACAAAATCCAGTAATCTATTGTTTTATTACTAGATAGTATTCTGTTGTACATGAATACCATTTTCTATATCCACTCATTAGGTGGTAGGTATTCACGTTGTTTCTATTTCTTGGTTCTTATGAATAGGGAATGTAGTTGTGTCGTTGGTGTAATGGCCTTATCTCCTCTGTAGTGAGACTGCTAGATCATATGGTGATTCTATTTTTAATTTTTGAGAAAATCTTGTACTGATGTTCACAATGGCTTTACCATTCTGTCTCTACCAGGTGTCCCTTCTATGTCCTTGCCAGCACTTATTCCTTTGTGATTTTACACTTGGTCTTACCAGAAAGACCAAGAAAAGTATCTTTGTCCCTCTGATAATAGCTAATCTAACTAGGTTGAGCTGGCATCTCATCATAGCTTTGATTTTTATTTATTTAATGATTAATGATTTTTGAGAATTTTCATATAACCCATTGGCTTTTTTTTTGATGTTTCCCTTTCATGTCTATTTAGATATATTGTACACTTCTTTTATTTGTTTGTATGTGTGTTTGTTTTGAGACAGGGTTTCTCCAGGTATCCCTGGATGTTCTGAAACTTACTCTATAGACCAGGCTAGCCTCAAATTCAGTGAATCACCTGCCTCTGCCTCCTGAGTTCTAGGGTTGAAGACATGGTGCCCCTGCACCTAGCCGTGTTGCCCACTTTTAATTAGATTATTTGGGAGATGTTTTCCCTGTTGAGTTGTTTGAGTTCCATATATGCATTCAGGATCTTATGTTTTTGTCATTCATGTGTTGTTCATTCTTTGTAAGAACATGCTGCAAGGAGTCTTGTCCCTCAGTACATTGTTCAGTCTTTGCTTGTTTCCTCTGCTCTGCAGAGCACTTTAGGTGCTACAATCTCATTTGTTTTTGCTTTTTTTTCTCCTGTGCATTAGTGTCTCCTCCTCCTCCTCCTCCTTTTTAAAATATCCTTGCCAGTTTCAAAGTCCTGAAGCTTTTGTCTTGTTTTCTTCTGGTAGTTTTATAGTTTAAGAGTCTTGTATTTTGTAATTGGTGATTGACAGATGGGGGAGGGTTGTCTAATTCGGTTTTGCACATGGATATCTGGGTCTCACAGTGCCATATATGAGAAGATTGTCGTTCCTCGGTGTTTTCAGTTTTCCAGTATTGTTAGTACCTTTGTCAAAAGCAGGTGACTTTAGATCACTACCCTTAGTTTTAGAGCCTTTGTCCTTTTCCATGGGTCTATGTCTACTTCAGTTGCCATAGATTTGCAGTATATAAAAACACCACACTATTTCACTTGCCATAGATTTGAGTTTATTTTAAATTCAAATTTGGCAATGTTTCCTACTTTGCACCTAAGCTCAAAATAGCCTTGACTATTCTAGGCTTTTTGTGGTTCCATTTAAATTTCAATACTGCTTCTGGTTCTGTGACTGGTGTTTTGAAGAAGAACTTCATAGCTGAAGAGATTGCTCAGTGGTGAAGAACTCTTGCTGCTCTTGAGTGGTACCTAACCAGTCTTAGCGCCCACATACATGGTGGCTTATAACCCTCTGTAACTCCAATTCCAGGGGATCCATTACCCAATTCTGGCTTCCACAGGTGTTACACACACATGGTGCATGTACATACATTCAGGCAAAACACTCATACACATTTTTTAAATAAAGAATCACATTGGTCTGTAGATCACATTGAATAGTGTATACATTTTAGTGATATTTGTTCTTCCAATTCATGACCATGAGATGACCTCCCATCTCTTTTTACCATCTTCAGTTTCTCAGGGCATTATGGCATTCACCTCTGCTTGGACATTTGGGCTACCTCTACTTCTTCACAACTGTGAATATTGTTGCTATGGACACTAGTATACAGTATTACTTTGAGATCCTCTTCTGAAATGTTTTGGACATGCCCCCAGAAGTAGAATTACAGGGTTATATGTGAACTCCGTTTTAATTCTGAGAGGAATTTCCATGCCCTTTCCACAATGGCTGCACCGCTTTATATTCTAACCACCAGTTCTCAGGACTTTCATTTGCATTTCTCTTGTAATCACTGGCTTACACAATCATGTATTGGTCATCTGAGTACCTTCTATGAGGAATTAATTATCTGTTCAACTACTTATTGTTTAATCAAGCCATTGCTCTTTGCTGACCTACAGGCTATCCTTATATATGCTGGGCATTAATCCCCTTTTTGGGGACATGACTTAGTTGGTTGTTTTCTTTGACATGCATAAGTTTGTAAGTTGGATAGTCAATCATTTGTGGCTTATTTTTGTGACACCATGACCCAATATTTTCATAACTAAAGAGTTTTGATTACTTTTCTGCCCTGGTGCTCACATTTTGAAAGAAGGTTCTTCCCAAATCCTTCTCAAATGATAATTTATTTTCAAAGAATGAAAATACTGCATATTTCCTCATTCTAAAGCTGTGACAAGCTGATGAAAATCCCAAAACCATTTTAAAGAATACTTTTTATTTATTCTTTGGCAATTTTATTCAAATATAACCAATGTATATTGAGCATATCCACCTTTGTCCCAGACTTCCTTAATAATTCTCCTACCCATGGTCATATTCTTTTTTTCTTTTTTCTTTGCTTTTTCATTTTTTTTGTATAAACTACTGATTCAAATTTGTGCTACCCTGCATGCACATGGGTGAGGCCTATTCACCAGAACTCTGCTACTTACCCATGGCCACACCCCAAAGAAAAATGAATCCCCTTCCCCTAACAATCATCAATTGTCCAGTAGTTTATCAGCCAGGTATGCAGAGTCTTCTGCCAACCATGTGGGAATGTGACTGATGACCTCTTGCACTGATACTTTAAATTTTGTTCATACTTGTATTAGTCATTGTGTGCTTGAGGGGCCAAAGTGGGGAGGGGGAAATGTTTTCATACCACTTAAAGTCTATTATCTCTGAAATGTCACTTGAGGTGCATATTAAGTTAAACTGGTTATATACTTACTTCTTTCCCGATGAACACTTAAGTTATATAAAATAGGATTTCTTTATATCAATTGATAACTTTTGAAACTTAATATTTCCTCAGTCTTTATTGTTTAATTCAAAAATTAAAATTATAAAGTGAAATTGTATGTTAACATCCCATGGTAGAGTAAACTTTGACTTCTTTTTTTTCTCTTTCACTCACCAGGTTTCACCAAAACTAATGCCAATGCAGCAGATTTCAACTTGAAATGTGGAATAGACATTTGTCTCAGGATGCTAAGATTTCATTTTGAACACATAGGATTTAATTGAAAGGGTGTCAGTAATCAAAACTATATATTTAACAAGAAGTTTCGACTAGTTTTCTTCTAGTAATTTCTGGATTTGTGCAGCCACAGACTGTTCTCTTCAGTGTGTTCTCACGTTTCTATGAAAGACAAAAGGAAAACATTTCATCGTGGTCTTGTTTCTTAAGTGCTAAGAAGGTTGTCTTTGCCATTGGTGCTTACTTTGAATGTATGTTTATCTTTTATTCTGTGTATACTAAACCAGAAAATTTTCATGTGAATTTGTGATTAGGCAGAATATGTTTTTGATAACTATATATCTTTTACTTTCCTCTTTTTTTGAGAGAAAGCTCTGATTTGGTGATTGTGCTTGCCTCTTTAGAACATCCTCCTTCCTCCACACTTCTTATAGCCAAATAGATACCCAGGAAGGCAAACAGGAGAGTCTCTGGGAGAAGTAAGCAGAAGAAAGAATTAGGCATGGGATCTTCCAGTGCTGGTGCCCATGAGACGGTGTCTTCATAGACAACCAACCACCTACTTTTGTGCACTAACAGCTGAGACTAACTATAGGAAAAGGACTAGAGACCTGTTGACATACTTACCTGTTCTCCTACTTTAAGATACTGTGCTATGCCTTTGTATTCAGAAGACTCCCTCTCTGTTATTGAGCCCCAGTGTTTACTTATACAGCATCTCCTAAGCCAAAAAGAACTGTGGGAAATTTATCATGAGTCCTAAATCACAATGGCAGTAGTGTTTACAAAAACGATCTTCCAAGATATTTTCCTTTTAGGCTCACCATTCTGCTCAGCAAAGATTCTAAACGGTGAATGGCTTTTTCTACAGAACTGCTTAAATTAGTTCTCTTAACAAAGTGCTATTACTTTAGCCTGATCTGTGGAGGGGGGAGTGTTGGGAGAGTCTCAGATCTGAGTAGATTACAAACTCTTTGTGTTGGGGAATGAACATGGTGACTTGGGATTATAAGGGATGCTTCCTTAGAAGTAGCCTCAATACAAGACAGTTGCCAGGAAGGGTCAATTCAAAAGTTCCCTTGACATCAGATGTGTGAATGTCTAGGCACCCTGAAGCCAGGCTGGACAGCTGGTGTCTGCACAGTAAAATGTACCATTCTGCTACTAATTATAGGAATGTATGCATGTTTTGGGTGACGGTTGTCATTGAAACTCATTTCTCCTCAAGTATAGCCACAGCTAACCTGTGCAGTATGTAAAGGAGAAGCAGAATCCCCCCCCCCCCCGACACACACACAGTACCCTCTATGTAGCACTGCCTTTCTGGCTGGCTCCGTGGTTGAAAGCATCTGCTGCCAACACTGATAGGAAGAGCCCTTCTTAGACGGCACAAGGTCCATGAGAGTAAATATGTCTATATTAGAGTAAACTTTTGAAAGTATTATTATTGTTGATATTGATGTGTCTTCAAATGCACTTGCTTATCATTCCAGTCTGTTACTTTAAGGCAAGGGGATTCTAAGAATGTTTCAAACATTGTCAACACCTGAATAGATGCTCAAAGAGTGCCATATTTTTAAAAATCTGTTAAGCGATAAAATAAAAATGACAAATTTGACAGATATCAGTGTGTTCGTTCTCTTTTCTCACTTGGGAATAGTGTGGTTCCATGAGGGAAAACATACAAAAAATGTTAGAATGGCCAAACATTAGGTCAGCAGGCTTTTACTTCTAATAAAGCCATTACTGTGTCTTTCTTTCCTTATTTTTTGGGGGGGAGGGTGTTGAAACTTGGTCTCTCTGTGTAGACAGGTTAGCCTTGAAATGACAGAGATCTGCCAGCCTGTTTCCTGAGTGCTGCGATTAAAGGCGTGTACCACAATGTCTGGTTGTAACTTTACTTTTTACTATACCAACTAGAATAAATTTATATTCTAGGAAGAGCAAAAGAAATATTGCCTAAATATATTCTGCTCTACCTTGTTCCCTATCACAGGCAATGTCTGTGGAAATTGATTATCAAGCCTTCATGTGTTAATGGTTTTGCTTTATCTGACATTTTCCTTTATGGTATATTTCTATTAATCAAGTGGCATTTTGAGTTTTATTACAGTTTTAAATGTCTTCTTGTAGTCTGTCCAGTACCCATTGCCTTTTTACTAAGTCTTTTTCTTCCTGGCCAAAATCTTGGAATTGGGGACAGGTTTATTTTTAATTCCTTTTTTTCTTTTGAGAGAGGATTTCTCTGTGTAGTCCTGGCTGTCCTGGAACTAGCTTTGTAGACTAGGTTGGCCTTGAACTCACAGAGATCCGCCTGCCTCTGCCTCCAGAGTGCTGGGATTAAAGGCATGTGCTATCACCTCCCAGAAAGGGGACAGGTTTCTAAGATATGTCATTCTTGATAGCTCCCCCCCCACTCTATATCCAGGAATTGATACATGATATAGGATATAACAATCAGATTATTTCTCCTATGTTCAAACACAGTGAGAGAAAGAGTTTTCTTCCTCTTATTTTGAAAAACTGGAAGAATAGGATCTGGCATTAGCACCTAGTCCTCTAATAAACACACAAACATGCACACATACATATGCACACACACTCTGATGCTTTGTAACTGCAAAGGAAGAAGCCGACCCCCAAGGAACTGCTGAAGAACATCCCAGTTGTTTTCTGACCCCCAACTTCTGGTTTTACCTTAGCCAGTTTCCCTCCAGCTTACCTCTATTTCTTCCAAATCTTCCATTTTGTTTGTCACTTGTCACCACAATATATATTAATTCAGCTTTTGTGGTTCTTGAGTTCTGTGTGGGGTCTGGCCTCTTACAGTTTTGCATAATAAGAACACAAGTAAGCACAGGTGTGGGTGCTACCAGTGGGTAGTGGGTTAAGTTGAAAGGCTTTCCTCTTGTAGTTGTACACTCTAAAGGCATGCTACATACCAATGGGAATTAAGCAGAAGTTTAACCAGTGGGTAGTAGGGTTAAGTTGAAAGGCTTTCCTCTTGTAGTTGTACACTCTAAAGGCATGCTACATACCAATGGGAATTAAGCAGAAGTTTAACCAGTGGGTAGTAGGGTTAAGTTGAAAGGCTTTCCTCTTGTAGTTGTACACTCTAAAGGCATGCTACATACCAATGGGAATTAAGCAGAAGTTTAACCAGTGGGTAGTAGGGTTAAGTTGAAAGGCTTTCCTCTTGTAGTTGTACACTCTAAAGGCATGCTACATACCAATGGGAATTAAGCAGAAGTTTAACCAGTGGGTAGTAGGGTTAAGTTGAAAGGCTTTCCTCTTGTAGTTGTACACTCTAAAGGCATGCTACATACCAATGGGAATTAAGCAGAAGTTTAACCAGTGGGTAGTAGGGTTAAGTTGAAAGGCTTTCCTCTTGTAGTTGTACACTCTAAAGGCATGCTACATACCAATGGGAATTAAGCAGAAGTTTAACCAGTGGGTAGTAGGGTTAAGTTGAAAGGCTTTCCTCTTGTAGTTGTACACTCTAAAGGCATGCTACATACCAATGGGAATTAAGCAGAAGTTTAACCAGTGGGTAGTAGGGTTAAGTTGAAAGGCTTTCCTCTACTACCAGTGGGTAGTAGGGTTAAGTTGAAAGGCTTTCCTCTACTACCAGTGGGTAGTGGGTTAAGTTGAAAGGCTTTCCTCTACTACCAGTGGGTAGTAGGGTTAAGTTGAAAGGCTTTCCTCTTGTAGTTGTACACTCTAAAGGCATGCTACATACCAATGGGAATTAAGCAGAAGTTTAACCAGTGGGTAGTAGGGTTAAGTTGAAAGGCTTTCCTCTTGTAGTTGTACACTCTAAAGGCATGCTACATACCAATGGGAATTAAGCAGAAGTTTAACCAGTGGGTAGTAGGGTTAAGTTGAAAGGCTTTCCTCTTGTAGTTGTACACTCTAAAGGCATGCTACATACCAATGGGAATTAAGCAGAAGTTTAATCAGTGGATAGGCTTCTTTGGCACTAACATCCTTTTTTTATAGGCTATGAGCTGACTTTTCTTAAGCTTACTTCTGGATCACCTGTCTTTAAAATGAGATCATATTGTTTTTCCATGATGGTTCCATAAGATGAAATTAATGTATTTGACCTCAAAAAGTCTTGCAAATCTTTCAAAAACACTGTGTCATATTAGCTTAGTGTGGACTTGATTGGTCTTATCTTGCTTTTCAGTGTCTACGCTGCCTGCCTATTAATATCAAATATCAGGATAAACATAAATACCAGTAAAGGTATCGTCTGCAGCTATATCTGTTTGATATGCTTGAAGTCTCTTCCATCTAAAAAGTTAGACTTGTCTATCTATGGAATCTTCTAGAGATATTTTGTGAATCACCCAGCATCTTTGAGAGCTCTAGATAGCTAATTGGACAGATGAGTCCTTTTTTGCAATCATGTTTTATTTTGGAGGCTAAATAGGCTTGATCGTGGTCACTGTGATCTTCAGTGGAGTACACCTGTGGTAGTTCGGATCTAATTGGCCCCCGTAAGCTCATAGGGATTGACACTATTAGAGGTGTGGCTTTTTTGGAGTAGGTGTGGCTTTGTAAGAGGAAGTATGTCACGGTGGGGGTGGGCTTTGAGGTTTCCTATGTTCAAGATACCACCCAGTGTCACAGACCAGTCCCTGTTGCCTGCAAGATGTAGGACTCTCACCTACTTAAACAGCACCATGTCTGTCTACATGTCACCATGCTCCCCGCCATGGCGATAATGAACCTCTGAACTGTTAATGTTAATGTTAAATGTTTTCCTTTATAAGAGTTGCTATGCTCATGGTGTCTCTTCACAGCAATAGAAACCCTAACTAAGACAACTGTCTTGGAAGGGACCTCAGACTACTGTACCCTGGCCCTTCTGTAGCATGACTTGGAGTATCTCAGCTAATGAACCGTGGAATCCTGATGTCAACATAACCCATTTTGTTTCACTCCATTTGTTACCCTCTATTCAGTTCAGGAGAAAAGTGACTCCAGAAACTCACACATAAACCCTGTTTTCCTTGGAGCCTTGCTTTTGATTTAGGGAAAGAGGAAGTAGCATTTCCCACTTTTTTTCCCTGGAATTGGAATGCCTTCTCCAGATATTGTCTCCAGCTCCCAACCTTTGCACACAGAATGTGCAAGAGTAAAGAGTTGTGCTGATTCTCAGGCAGATCTGCCGAAATCAGTGTGTGTGTGCGTGTGTATGTGTGTGTACATGTAAGCGCACAAACACTGTTTTCTTTTAAACAAGGTAATTAAGTTTTTAAATTTTCATTTTGTATTCCAACCACAGTTCTCCTCCCCACTCCTCTTGCCTCCCCTCACCTCCAGCCCCCCATCCACTCTTCCTAATGGGTGAGGGCTCTCATGAGAAGTTGGCAAGGTCTGGCACATTAAGTTGGGGCAGAACCAAGCCTCTCCCCCTTGCATTAAGACTGAGAATGGCATCACACTATAGGAAATGGGCTCCAACAAGCTAACTCATGTACCAGAGATAGATCCTGGCCCTATTGCCAGGGGTTCCCCTCAGGTAGCCCAAGCTTCACAACTGTCTCCCAAATCATGTTCTTAGTGTATATAGCTGTTTAACAACTCATGACTGGCCATCGCTGACCTGTGATAGTTTTCTAAATATATTTAGTAAATTAGTGTACCATTTGAAAACATGGTTAATAATAAGTCAGACTGAGGTTCCCCTTGGTTAAATAGTGATGTAATATCTCGTAGCAATATGTACAGGGAAAAAATGGAACCTAGGGGCTGTCACAAAGGAATAAACAGTCCTGAAATGCCTATATTTGTATAAATACTGTATAATTTAGAAATCACCCAGAATATGAGGTAGCTTATTTGATTTCCACAGTAACTTGCCAGGCAGACAGTATTACTGCCATTAAAATTAACTTGATTAGCCTGTGAGAAGTAACGTCCACTAGTTCTTTAATCAAATGAGCCTTTCTAGGCTAATGTTGAATTTTGCCAAGGTAGTTAATGAGATGCAAATTAAATTCCCTGAATAGAACTAGATGTGTTGCTCTCTGGTTAAGCCATAAATAAAGTCCACACCCTTCAAACCTAATGGGACAAATACTCTGATTTTCTTCCCTCTGTTCACATCACTCTTGTGCATAACCTAGTTTATGGTAAAATGGATAGTTCTTAAGACAGAACTCATAATGTCCCCATCAGGAAAATGTTTCCGTGGGTGATGCCTAATCCCCAGATCTGTTCACTTGAAAGGCTTGGGTTTGGCAAGGTAAGAATGCTCACACGGCAGCAGCAGGAAGGAATGATGGGCTGAGACCATTCTGAAATTCTACACACAGAGAGTCTGACCTAATGAGGTTAACCATTCTTACACACACACACACACACACACACACACACACACACACACACAGAGAGAGAGAGAGAGAGAGAGAGAGAGAGAGAGAGAGAGAGAGAGAGAGAGAGATGATCCCTGGAGAGCTGGAAGCAGAGGAGCCCAGGATGCTGGGTGATGGGATGCATGAGGAGGCCTGCTCAGCAAGGCACATGTAAATGAGAAGATTTAAGCATTACTGTCACATTTCTTGAGATGTAATGCATTGTCATGCATAAGACACAACTTGCTTTTGTTTAC